GTGTGTGTGTGTGTGTGTGTGCGTGCATGTGTCTGTTTCTCCCAAGAGCGTCTTTGCATGTGCAAACAGATGTTTTGTGTCTCTCCCGAGCAGCAGAGGTCAGGCCCCCTCCATCTTTCTCTCGTCTCCTTCCCATCTCCCCCTGTTCTCCTCTTTCACAAGCATCTGTTCTTCTGGGCCGCATGGGTGACACCTGCGCCCCAGCGGCGGCACGGTGGAATCAGGTCACCTTACAAACTGGTCGCCATTACAGCCTGAGTTGTAAGGGAGCACGCTGCCCCCTGTCTGATCTAAGCACCCCATCCTTGAGAAAGGGAATGAGAAAGAAGGATATTTTTATCACATTTTATGCCGTGTGTGTGTGTGTGTGTGTGTGTGTGTGGGTGTGTGTGTCCTTGTGTGTGTAAAATCTTTATGATTTATGCCTCCTAGGAATGTTTTGACAGACAAATATCAGAGCAAACAGGAAAATACGACACATCCACTCGACTCTCCTCTTCTCACTCGCTATACCATGTGTAATTCAAAAAGGAGACGACAAACGGAGGACAAGTGTGATCGCGCAGCTCTGACAAAGCAGTTGCTTTTGTTCTCTCCACCTCAGCACATATGTGGGCATATGTGCACTTACTGCATCCTTTGATCAAGATGAGGAAGGCAATGTGCAAACAAACACAATCCTTGTAATGTATTCCGCACTTAGATGTGTAAAATAATGATGAAAGTGTAACGTGTAGTGCTGTCAAATGAAAAAAAAAAAAAAGCCAACTGTGTTGTAGAGCCAGGATTCAAAGCCAAATGTCACATCAATGACTCGGTGTGTTTTGTCATAACAACATGGTGATTCAGTCCTCTTTAGAGTAAAGGTGTGGACAGTTTGTCAGGACTTGTGAGGTTATTTTTTCTTTTTTATTAAACGTGTGGTTTTTGATCAGCTGTGTATTGAGGACATGCTCCTGTCACAGAATGTTTGTTAATGCACAAGAAGAGATGCAACTTTGTCAAGCTCCCCCATAATGCATCGTATGTGGTTTATTGATTTTCCTGTAGGAACCCACACACACACCCTATATCGGACTCACAGAAAGAGAGCGAGAGGTAGAAAGGTGATGTGTGAATGGGTGTTCTTGTCATCCAGGTTTGTTTTTCAGCTCTCTCACTCAGCAGTCCATTAGTTCAGTGTTGGAGCGGCTGGCATTAGATTCTAGCTGACATGTTCTCCCAAGTCTAGGAGCAAGCATGCTGTGCTGAGTGCTCTAATATTCCTCTCTTTCTCCCTCACACACGCTCTCACACATACACACACACAGAGTTCTAGCTGTGAACAAGAAAACAGGAAAGTAAGAGTGGAAGTGAAAGACGGACAGCAGTGGAGAACCTGGCTAAAAATACAGATGAAACAAAATGTGAAACAAAATGGGAAAGAGGATCATCAGATTTCATGATTTTCACACTAAAATAAGTTATCGACCATTTGAAAAATATGACACCCACTCTAAAAAATGTTTTGCTGACTCAAAAGTAGCACATTAATGAATGTTGATGAAGTTATACTGTGAAATAAACCTTAATTATCCAGCAGCCTAACGTGTCTCTGACTGAAATCTGTCTGGATCTGAAACCTCCCTTACAAAGAAGTGTGGCTGTTAAATAGCTCTCTTGCTCTCCTCTTCTTTCAGGGGCTGCCAACCACCACAGTCAGTCTACACTACGGCCTCCACTGCCCCCTCCGCACAACCACCACACCTTATCCCACCAGTCTGCCAACAGCCTGAACAGGAACACGCTGAGAGGGGGCCGCAACCCCATTCACGCACCTGCTCCGGGCACTGGAGATGGGCCGACCACCCCTGAGTCAGTCCAGCTACAAGACAGCTGGGTGCTCAACAGTAACGTCCCGCTGGAGACCAGGTAAGAGGGAAATGTGTTTCCTTTTCATTCCTCCCTGTTCTTACAGTTGACAGGTTTTACCTGATGCTGATGTCGGGAGGCACTTACAGTATGCACAGCAGTGGACTAATCAATAGCAAGGAATTGAAAGGTCAGAGTCACGCTGCTTCAACATCATCCCTGTGAGCACACTGATGGTGTGAGAGAATACAAGGAGAGGCAATAAGAGTGAAGAAGTTTCTCTGATGCTATGTTAAAATTGCAAACTCACTTCATCAATTTTAGTTTTAAGTAGAAAAAAACATGATTGTGTACCTGTTCACAACAGAAATTTGCAAAAGTATATTCACAAAGTGCTGTTCCAGGAATAACAAGCTACTGTGGCTGGCAAGCAAACGGATAACATTTCAGTTATTAGTAAGTCATTTCTTTAACAGACTCAATATGTCAATATGCAGAATCTGTAGATGACGGACAAGAGGTTGGGGCCTAAAGCATTTAAGTTTCCATTTCTTGTTCAGCCAATAACGTTTCAGCAGGTTTTGGTTGCCTGCAGGTAAACGGTCCATGTGGAAAGCAAAAAAAGGTGGAACATGTTGACCGAAATGCATATCAGCTTTTTATTGTATCTGCATTTATATAGTTAATTCACCATCAACAGATATCTGATGATGATGAACAAAGAATCAGCGATTGCCAAAAAGAGGTTTTATGAATTAAAAATAAATTAAGTCTGATATATTGGCAAGACCATAGCTGGCATGTTTTCATTCTGAAGAAAATTGGTCGAAACCATAATTTTAGTTGTCAAAGTTTTTAATCATAATAATAATAATAATAAGATTTATTTGTATACCACAATTCATAAAAGACATGCAGCTCAAACTGCTTTACGTAAATATAGATAAATATAATAACATGTTAATAAAAATAAAATGAAATTCATATAAAAGAACAGATTTTAAGTTACATAAGAACATGTTAAAATTACATTTAAAATAAAATAAAATAAATAAAGTGATTATAAAAGCGCAGTAGTGTGGGCAAGTGCAAGATCTAGTTAATAGTCTAGTTTGGTAAACTCTACATCAAAGCTCCACACAGATAACTTTGATTGCACAAGTGAATCCTCATTATATTGCATAATTTGACTGCAGTTAACTATCTTCATATTTTTGAAATTTTGCTCTAATTAATGCTGGTTTGAACAGGCTCTTCGTCTTGTTTTTTGTTAATATACACCCACCCAACATGATTTTTTACATCCAATAAATCACTCTTATTAAGTTTGCAATTTAAGTATTCTTTTTATTAGATATTTTATAAATTTCATATTTATTTAAGGCCATGACTCATATCAGGAATGTCCTGGATCAGGAGAAGAGAAGAATGAGGCATGATCTTTTCCGGAGCAGCTCCCAAGTTTAACTGATTTGTGTCTGCATTTCTTTAGCACACCCTGTCATTTGTTATGGATTCATCTAATAGACAAAAGCTACACGTTTCAGTTCACTGAGCAAACATAATACTGCAAAATATCATGCAAACAGTGTCAATGAGCATCTCCTATCCATCATTCTCAGCAAATATATGAGCCTCCTAACCAAAAATGAAATTGCTCTCAACCGCTGATTTACAAAAGTGCACTCCTGGAATGCTTTCTGTACCTCGTCTCCAAGCATGACACTTATAAAAAGCTGCCATGTGTCAAAGTTGTTATGCGTGCATCCTGGAGTGAGGGAGCAGGAAATACAAACCATTTCACACAACCTACACTTTCGCTTTCACCGGTACACAAAGAACATTTACCAGGCCAACAGAGCATCCATGCAGGGTATTACTATTCATGAGGCATGCAGTGAGAGAGACACTGCCTACATGCATGCTAGCATGCACACGCTCACTCTGTGAGCATTTACTCTGCAAGCTGTAGTTGTGTTTCTCCTGCTGGGCGCTGGGGCTTCCAGCTCTGACAGTCCCGGATAAGCTCCCCAGAGTGACAGCCCTGTGCAGTATTTATGAGGCCTGGCCATGTTTAATTCAGTCCCACTGATCTCAACCTGTGCTTATGCATAGCACCAGTATGTATGATAGGCTAAAGGAAATGTGGTGTAAAACTTCCACCAGTAATTGTTTATCTAGACCTGTGTTGCCATGGTCACACATGAGGAGATTTTTGTGACTTCTGTTGTTGCGAATGATGCAGCGATCCTTGCTGAAATACATTTATAAATCTTTTTCCCATAGACAGTGTTGCCACACACACACACAAACCAACACACAGTCTCACACACACTAATGTGTAGTGCCAGTATTTGGTCGTGTTCAGGTGGTGGGGTTGCGCATGGCTCAGAGCCTGTTGCAGTGAATGGAGCCCAGAGCAGCACACAGACTTTCCAGCACCACCCTCCAGCACAGATTGGACCCTCCTCTGGTCCTCGATGGCAGAGACTGGGTGGGCTGGCTGGAGCTACTGGAGCTTGTGACTGGGTTGGAGCCAGGTAGGCAGAGCCAGAGAGTCACACCATCGCGCTGGCAAGGGTCGTCCTCCATCTCATTATAACCGGCAGCTCGGAGATGATGAGCACACGTGTGTATGTGAGGGAGGGAGTGCGGTTATGTACATTTGTGTGTATGTTTGCATCCAAGCATGTGGGTTCTTTATGACTGTGACTGCTCCCCACTGTAATCATATGTAAATCTTGGCATTTGTTGTCCACTCGTTAAAGTAAATGTGTGTGTGTGTGTGTGTGTGTGTGTGTGTGTGTGTGTGTGTGTGTGTGTGTGTGTTTGTGCACGTGTGTGAGTTTGTGTGTGTGTTTTGGCTTGACCCAGTAGTGTGACAGTGCTGAGAGGATGAAGATTGATCACCTAAGAACACCCCAGGGCTTGGATGACTGGCAGAGAGAGAGAGAGATAGAAACAGATGAGAGGGGGGTTTGATATAGCAAAGAAATATAACACAGGAGAGCAAGAGAGGGGGGAAATGGAAAGGAATGGTTTACGGTAGAGAAGGGAGAGATAAAAAGGGAGAGAGGGAGAGGAATGGAGAGAGGTGGTGATTGAAGGAGATTGTTTTGTGTGAGGTGTGTGTGAGAGAAGATAGAAAGGCAGAGAAGGGAGATTGGGCCCCGTAGAACATGGATACATTTACCAGTGTGAGATAAATGACTTTGGATGGCTGGTGCCACTCAGTGTGTCCGTGTGCTCATGTGTGTGCCTGCGACAGGAGAGTGGGAAAAAAAATGCATTTCTTCGTGTGCATGGGAGGGCACATGTGTGCACATGTGTTTCGGGACTTTACGAGAAAGCACCTGATTTCCAATCGGTCCCTGGGAGCCTCTTAGCTGCCTGATGCCAGTTTCAATCTCTCTGTGTGATCTCAGGACATTCCCCTGCAACCCCTGCTCGCTCTGCTGTGGGCCACAACTCTAGCGGAGAAATAAGATCACTGAGAGGGCCGCGGCATCTCAATTTATCCTGAAGGTGCAGTGGAGGGTGGGGAGGCGCGGTGTGGGTACCTTGGATTACTTTCAAATGCATTACTGTGGGGACACATAAGAGGATGCTACATGTTGAAACCACAGGGGGTAAAAAAGAACAAGACAGAGCAGAGAGAAAAGATGTATGCAAACATGCCTGTGATATGCATATGAGACCTATGTAATATCATGCATGGTTTATTAATGACATGATCTTGCATTCATACAGTATGTACTGCAAACATGAGATCCAATATCCAATATTATTATGCAGAACCACTACTCTGCTACCCTAAATAACCTCTCCTTCCTGCTTTGAAATTGTAACCACTAATAAAATGCTGACTTTGCGAGGAGTAGTTGGATCTGAGCAAGCAAAAAATAATGTTTACACCCCGAATTAATGGAAGGCAAAGTTCAGCTCATAAAGATGGAAGACATGACTGCCCCCCAAAACTGAAGCCAAAGCATCCCGATCACCACTATTGGCTGCTTAGAGGTCATAAATCCCACCTTCTCCATGTTGGTGGATGGGACATGGACTACACTGTTTCCTCTATTATCTTTTTTTAGCAGCTGGCTCAGGCTGTCAATGCATCTGCTCTTCTCTGTTGCTCTTCAAACACAAACTGACATTAATATTTATTTAGTTATAAATCCAGGTATTTCCTATTACACTGATGTGTGTTCACTTTCCCAGTAATGTTATTTTGTATTTTTTGATGCTATAAACTTGGGACAAAGCGTCTTGATTGAAGCTGAGACTGACTCACAATTGGTCTGTGGCCAGTATCTGCAGAACCTCGCTAGCGCAGCTCCATCCACGATTGCTCCTGCGCAGACTGTAGCTCCAAATAGGCAGTGTTTGTATCAGGGATATTTTGACTTCGTTAGTAGGAGGAAGTGGAGACACGTCCTCCACCTTTATAAACAGTCTATGAGTCAACTCCACTGTGAACCAACCCAACTCAGCTTGAGTTGATTCTCAAATGTGTGTGGGAAGTGAACATTTCCCCAACTCCTACCTCCTGTCCAGGCCAAGTCACTGATCATCAAGTTCAGCTGGATAACAATATGTTTATGAACTTTAAATTGACTTTAATTCAATACAGACTCTAATTGTTGAAACCAGTCCAACCAAAATAACTTCCGCCGACATCCCAACATGCTGCTCTGATTCATTACTTTGTAGTGAGCGTACAATGTGATCACTCAATCACTTAACGCTGCGTTGAATCAGACAGAGCCTGACACATCTCATCTATTTGATGATGGCTTAAACAGTCGCCTCACTCATGAATGTGTGGCTTATGCCGTGTGATGTAGCCCCACTGCTTAATAATCCTAATATTATATTTAATAAAACTGTGATTAGCAAAGACATTTTTTATTCAGGTAAGGTAGGCCACCTCCACTATAAAACACTGTGGAAAAATCCTGTAACACGTATAAATATCAATTAAATGTCATGTAAAAGATGAGGGTCTTTTACCACTAAATCACAATCAAAACATTTTTCACTTACTGCTCTTCATATTTGGTTATAATACAGTTTGGTCTTTATCTGCTGTTGTTTTAACTTATTCACCTCTGGACACCTGTTACCACCTCGAAGCAACATTTCCTTTAATATCTAGAATCTTAAGATGTGCAGCATCTCAGGGGGTTTTTCCCCCTTAGAAAACAATCAAACCACTGAGTACTTTATTTGATGCCTTCTATTGTTCTTGCCTTTTACAAACATCATGCAGGCTTCAAATGTTTCCATGTTCTTCTTCAAAGCAACACTCGGCAAACAAATGCCCATTATACTGCATCCATCTGCCGATTATTGTTTCCCTGCTATTGTAGCACAGAAGAATTCTCATGAGCATCCTCCGCTCCCAGAGCCCTTTGTTTCATCCACAGATCTGACCGTTTTCTAGTCAGCACCCCATACAGAGCCGACCTCTGTTAATTGTTCCCTCTACCTGTGATGATGATTCTTAGAGTGCTATCCTAAGCAGCCACATGTTTACGGGAGATGAGAAAATGAAGGATTTGTGCAAGTGCGCTTCCGAAAGTGTGTGCGTGTGCTTGCGCATTCGCTCAAGGGGAATGCGAGCTTTGACTTCCTGCTAATTACCCAGCATGCTCTCTGTTCTGTGGTTAATTGTCCAGGCCCTCTCCTCTCTCAATAGGGAACAGGGGTTGGCATGAAGTGAAAACACATCCTCCCTTCCTCTCTCTGTCTCTCCTCTAATCTGCAGCTTCCTTCTCCATCACTCTCCCGACCGTCCCTTATGTCACTATCTCCCTCTTTGAGGATGCAAATTAAATGTTTGGTTCACTAACATACAGGGCAATCTCGTCAAAGAGAGCCCACATAAATTTGTATTGTTTTCGCAAGGGTGGTCGCCTCTGTCTGAGTCTGTGCAAATGTGTGTCAGTGTGTGATTTAGTGCCTGCTCGTTCTGCGTGTGTGCGTGCGTGTGTGTGTGTGCGTGTGTGTGAGAGACAGGATGTATGACAGTGAGGTAGCAATGGTTAGACGTGGTGGGGGTGCTGCTGGCAGCTCAAGAGTAGAAGGGGGTGAGTGTGTGTCCCTGTCAGTTCTATCTAATTATGTGTGACGTTTCCATGCTGGACCACTGTCAAAAAAAAACCACAATATCCACACATACACACATATACTGAGACACACACCCAAGCAAACACACACACACACACACACACCAGCCTAATGATACAGACTTGTGATTGCCGGCTGCCTGCTATGATAGAACCCCTCCATAGTCCTCCGCAACATAAATCAATGTCAATTACCTCCCCAGAGCACATTAGACACTCTCCATTCCTACTCGTAATTAGTATGGCCCGTAGACATATTCCCATCCCACACCAAGCCCACTGTGGAGCCTCTGCACACAAACAACAAAGCCAGGCACTGAAATGAATTTGTTGCATGAATTCAAATACATACCAGCACAACAAATCACATACATTGTGTTGCGCTGAATGCAAGTAATTCACCAGCTCACCCTGCATTTACACACACACAAACAAACACATATATTAGGGGCACTGAAATTAATTACGACTGGCCTTGCCATCACATGGTGCGTCAATGGCTGTGAAAATGAAGCAGGGGCACATGCTGGCTGACCTTGGGCTCTGTGTTTGTGCCTATACACAAGCAAGCCATGCATTTGAAAGCATGTAGCCTTATGCATGCATATTAAAATTGATGGCTGTGACAGTGAGAGCGTGGTATTTTTCGACAATAACCTCATATTTCTTCGCGTGACATCTCCGCGCGCTCTTTCACCCTCTATCCGTCTTCTTCTTTTTTCTCGTCTCCTCTCTTTGTCCTGCTTTCCTTGGTGTCACACAGCGAACCTGACAGGTAAAGGGGGAGGAAGGAGGAGAGAAGAGGAAAGAAAAAGAAGAAGACTCCTGCAGGAAACCAATCCAACAATCAGTGACATAAAATGATGAGAGAGAAAAAGGGGAGAGACAGAGCAGTGGCTGGCTGAATAATTGATAAAGAGCGGAACGGCACTCCCAAACCAAATCTCTATGCTCTGAGCATATTACCTGTTTTCAGCAACTGTTTGCAGGCGAGCAGACTCATGTACAGACATACTTTCATGAAGCATCAGTTATTAGACACATCTAAGGACAGCCGACCGTACAGCACACTGGATTTATTTAAACAGCAATCATCAGAGGCAACTACAGCAACAGGTTAGAACTGGTCACACTAGTCTAGTCGAAAGAGAAGAGACAGGAGCTGAGTGTACGCACTTGAATGCACATGTTTATGTTAGTAGCCTTTACTAGACATAGGTGAGTCACATATCTGGGACTCCAGGAATCAAAACTTGAATCACATTAGACTAGAAAAGACTAGTACATCAACTTAGACCTCAACACCTTTGTGACCATTGCATTTTCATTTAGAATATTTTACTACCCTCCAAAAGCCCACAGTGTATAAATTAAATTTATAACGCCTTGTTACCTCTGCCAAGAAGGTTATGTTTTCAGTGTTGTTAGCAGGATTACGTAAAGACTACTGACTTTATTCAAACTTGGTGGAAGGAAGGGGTATTGAGCCATGGAAGCATTTATTATATCTAGAGGCAGATCCGGAGCAGGAAGGATCTGGGATTTTTCGTGTTAAACATTGTGTTTTTTGACATTTTAACCTATGAATGATGCATCTTGCACCCAAATGCTAAATAGTCTGGCGTCACATTTTTGGTGCGCCTAAATAATTTAAATCTTTGAATTACAAAGTTATCCAATTAATGATTTATTTGAGATCTGAACTACTATTGATAATGCTCACTTTCAGTTTTCTTAAAATAAATTGGTTACAATTATCTTGCCAAACAGCTTTTTTATTACCTATTTCATTGTCTGAACCTATGCCCTTGTCCTCCAACTGCTTTTTGATAATACCAGAAAAATGTCCTCTATTTGCAGTCCATTTTTCCAATGTCAGATACTCAAAAAGATATAGTGCCAGAGCATTCACACTCACAAAAAATGCAAACAATTAACTCCCACAAAGACAGGCAGACAAAATCTTTCCCATCTCAGTTGTCTTTGAGGCAATAGAATGACCTCACCTTCTCTGAACTGTATTTTTTCTGTCGTGTCACCTGGAATGTGTTTAGGAGCAGCAGTGTGTCTCATGAAAGATGTCACAAAAGTGTCATAAAAGTTGTCCTTGGAAAGTTTCATGTAGTGCAGTGTTTCATTTTCTCACTGTGGCAGCAGTGTTCCTCCAAAGTCAGACCAGATAAGTAATCTGAAAGTTGGAGTGAATGAACGAAGACGTGATTACAGAAAGGATATGTTGAATAACAGGAATACGTGCAGCACAAATGTATGTGAGAAGGAATGGTGTGACAGTAGGGTGAAGAAAAATGAGAACACGGGAAATGGGTATAGGAGGGGAGCGAGAGCAGCAAAAGCGGCGCGTTGGGTGAGCAGGTGCAGCAGTAGCAGAGGATAATGGGTAATATGAGCAAAGAGATGATGGTTCAAAACCCATCTTTTATCCTCTTTCTGAGCTCTGACCCCACTGCAGCAATGAAGACAGGAAACAGGGGACGGCATTGATCCTCCACAGCCGCTGAGAACAGAAACGAGGCACATCATAAGTGGGGTGAATGGAGAGGGGAAAAAAGAGGGTAGAGAAGGTGAAGGTTAAAACGAGACCTTAGACTGGAACTGGGGACACAATCAGTCAGGGATGTTCAAACCCATATGGCACAAAGGGTTCATCAGAAATATTGGACAGAAGCTCGCACATATGTGACCCTGTCATCTGGACCTTGACGGGATGTCAAGTTGTTGTGTTCCCTTAAGGTTTACTGTCCTGAACCGAATCGACTAAAATCAGAACACATTTTGTTTTGCATTTAGAATGACATTTTCTCTCCCTTATTTTTTTTCCTCCTCAGGCACTTCTTGTTCAAAACGTCGTCTGGGACCACCCCGCTCTTCAGTAGCTCCTCCCCCGGGTACCCTCTGACCTCGGGAACGGTGTATTCTCCACCCCCTCGCCTGCTCCCCAGGAACACCTTCTCCCGCTCAGCCTTCAAGCTAAAGAAGCCGTCCAAGTACTGCAGCTGGAAGTGTGCCGCAGTGACAGCCATCGCAGCTGCTGCCCTGCTGGCCATCCTACTGTCCTACTTCATCAGTAAGTGATCAAGTGTTTTTCATCGAGAGGATTAATCACATTTCATGTTTTTAATTCAATATCTTATGCCGAGTAATTAAATAATAAACAAGTTATTTTCAAAGATGAATTAAGACACCAGAATAACCTTTAGAGTAAAATGTTATTTTTAGATACATTAGATTACTACTGATCCACAAAACATGAACTTTTCTCTTGTTTATATTCTTTGTATTCTGCATCCTACACCCGAACAAATAAGTGGAAAGCTGAAACTGCCAGTTATAAACACTAAGGATTTGATTACTGTTAAGGACTTGATTTCTTGTATTTGCTCATGGAGTTCAGTCCCATGCACGGATCTCACTCTCATGTGCAAGCTGAGCAACAGGCACTCAAAGAGATATGGATATTTTAGAGGTCCACCGTTCCACTGATGCAGCAGTGCTCCAAACACTCAGACAGCACCTATCTCTAGCTGTTAAATCAGAACAAAGCTCAAATGTCATCACAAACAAGGCATCATTAATTTAGATTTAATAATCAAAGCATTCATGGTAATCACTCAAAATCCGTAGGTGGAGGCGCGCAGAAACAGCTGTTCATGCCTTGCAGCTCACTCTCTCCCATTGACTATCCCTGCCCTTCCCTGTTGTTTCCCTTCTGTCTGTGGATTACCTACAACAGGGTACAAATGGAACTGGGGCCAAAAGTTATATTTACAATCACAAAAAACAAGCAGGCAAAGGAAGCAGACTAATGACATGTTCTGTCAGTCTATTGATCGGCTCCTCTCTGTTTAGTAGGCGACACAGCGCTGCACCTACACACAACAAACAGTGCTCCACACACCCCAGGCGACTCTGCGTGACATGAGTGCCTGATCTCTCCCCGAATGTATCTGAATGTATTTACCGATTTTGATAGAGACGAAGGAGGCACCGCATCTAATCAGCTAGGCGCCAGCCCGAATCTGGGAGGTCCCCAGATCCCTTTCCGGCAAAAATCTGGCACAAATCGAGCCCTGCTCGAGGCGAGAGCTTTGTCATTGTAGGCTTGAGCTGCACGGTCAAAATCTGACTCAGCAGGAGCTCCAGCCTCCACTCTGTAAACAGCCAGTCGAACAGACATGAGGATACATTAACCGCAGGGGCTGTTTCAGTGAGCAGGTATCATTCAGGGTAGGAATTCTAACAGACCCAGCAGGGGAGAGGATGTTTTTCACTGATCTGAAAACCAACGAGCAATAGTTAAACTCAAAGGGATGGCAGATACTCAGAGGAGAGCACTTACTGAGCACCTCAGGAAGAGACTCTGATGGCTGTCGACTGGTACATCTGTGGGAAGAGAGAGAGAGAGAGAGAGCCTAGCTCAGAGTGTGTGTGTGGGTGTTTTATTCCTTCTTGACCTCGTTCACCGGGCAAGAGAACGCAGGTGTGTGTGTGTGTGTGTGTGTGGGTGTGCGTGCGTGCGAGTGTGTGCGAGTGTGTGAGTAAGACAGTGCGAGAGAGAGATAGACAGGAGAGACAATATAAAGAGAAAGGACACATAAGTACAGTGTGTGTGTGTGTGGGGGGGGCTGCGCAGAGGGAGAGGGGGGCAGATGTGTCACTGAGCCCTTGATTAGCCTCTTACCCCAGAGACCAAAGTCAACAGATGGGGGATCTTACAAAATAGTGGCATCAGCAGAAAGAACAACCCCCTTATTGCCTCTATATACATTATTAATATATTTTTTTAATTATATATATATATATATGTACATACCTTACCGTCCATCAATCCCTAGTGAGTGTGTGTTTTGGCTTGATGCACCTCTGGTAGCTCGTCTGAATGCCTCAAAATTGCATATGTGCACTCAAGTCTGTGCCTCTGTGCACATGTCCATATCTGTGTGTGGCTCCTCCTTTGGCCTGCCCTTGAGAGTGCTGCGTGTCCTCCAGAGCAGATCAAGGCCCCTTGCCTGGGGCGCAGAGACAGATACACCCTCTCCTGAGCTTCAGACGGTCACACTGCAGTGGACAGCCACATATGGAGCCACGAAACCAGCATGAGGAGGGGGAAGGAAGACCACAACTGCAACCAAGTTCACAAAACCTTCCCAAAGATACTTGAGGGCAGGGATATAGTGGAGCACAGTTACAAAATAAACTCAGTTTTATCCATCATTTTATTTTATACGCTGCATATAGAGCTCACTTGGGTCTTTATTGACACAAATACTTGTTTTTATCAGAATATCTCTACTTTCATTATATAGAGGCCTACTGGGGGCCACAGGGTCCTGGAGTCAATCCCAGCTGACCTCGGGTGAGAGGCTCCCTGGACAGGACGCCAGTGTATTGCAGGGCCAACATCATCAGAACAGCCACCAGTCCCTGCAGAGCAGCACTACTAAAGTACTTTTAGATTCATTAAAAGTAAATATCAAGTTTTTTTTAACTCATTCCTTAGCTCTGTGGACTCAAGCAGTCAACAACTCAAATACCAGTTTTTTTAAATGCCGGTAAATCCACACAAAAAAAGCGATTGACTACTTTACCATTGCCACAAGAGGAGTTGCCCTTTCTGCTTGATTTCCGTGGATTTTCATGTTGGACGTCACAAATGTTCTGAAAACGAAGGTGCTTTCACTGTTTTGCCAAATTAGCATGTACACCAGGGGTGTCACGTTTCACTGCCAAAGCTGCCGGAGCTAAGGCCGATAAAAACCTGTCCACTGAAGAGTCATTTAACTTGGGAGTAATTGCCGATTGTATCCATTCCCATTGCAGACAAAAACCAGATGCAAGTGGGATTTCTGACAAGAGGAAAAAGGGCTTGACTATACAATGTCCAGATACACCAGTACCGAAGCTCAGAAAAGAAAGGGAGTTGAAGATATAATTGTTTATAAAATTAAGCTGATGAAAGTAAGTAAGGATCTCATCAGGGGGAAAAAAATTGGGAAACGGTTCTACTTTTTCTTCCACAAGTTTAATAACTATTAATTCAAGACTCCATTTGTGTCAGACACATACAACTTGTTCACAATAGTGTCTGTTTCAAAAATTGGTAACTAGTTTTTTTGCAATATCGAGAAATGATTTATTCATATACTGTTTGCATGCTGCTGCAAGTGCAAAGTGACTACTCTGTATTATGTTGCATTTTATTAATGAAATTCAGTGACTGTGGAACAAGGTTGCTTAAACATTTTCTTTAAGCTCCATTTTCTGTACATTTAGTGTTTTTAATATACCGCTGGTCAGCGCTTTCTGCCAAGCTTAATTGTCCCGCTGGCTGTAATTCAGTAAGCAGAACAAGGCTGAAATGATACTTTATTGTTATTATCACTTTTTGCTAACTGCCGGGTCCCCTTTTAATCTGCTGTGAGGAAATGTGTTGCTCTGGTTTGTTGTCTGTGCTGAACAGAGCTGTAGCAGTGCTGCCAAGCCTGAAACCCTTGTGTTTACCTGGCTTTTTGTAGCGTTAATCGTGCAGCGAGTTTCAGTCGGAAGAGCTCGACACTCATGGGGGGTTGGGTGGGTTTGTGGTACCATGTTTGTGTGTTGTGTGTGAGTGCGAGAGCCCGGCGCACACTGGGGGGACTTTGCCGAGCACCCAAAGCCATGCAGCGTGAAGAGGACCCCTCCGAGGCGTCCGCCCATGAGCCCTCTCATAAATTACACCGGGACACATGTGCCTGAGCAGCACTTTTCTTTTTTGTGCGTATGTGTGCGTGAGTGCTTCTTCCTTTACAACGCGTGCGAGTGCAATGTGTGTCTGATTGTGTGGCTTTGAGGGCAGGTTAGCTTTCAACTGAATTATTTTTCAAGACCATAAATATAGCTTCAGAAGCTGCTCTACAAGTTTCTAGAAGCACACACAAACACATGCACACACCCTGAGAACCTTTTACAATGACAACAATAAGCATGCTTCAGAGGTATGGTAGACAATGTCCCTTTGTAGCAATATTCACTATGTATGTCTGTTGGAATGGAGCCATGAGAATGAAATAAACACACACATAAATGCAGAGAAAAACATCTGTGTGCCTGTACATTCCTGCACCTATATGTGTGTTTGGAAGAATTTGAGAGCATTTACTCGTTTGTGAGGACAGACAGCATTTCTGCATAAAAGCTCCCCACTCCAGCGGAGTATGGCCTTCTCTTTACGTGTGAAGGAATGACTGAACGGATGGAGGGAGGAGGATAAACGAGAGTGCTTGTTCTTCATTCCCCTGGCGTCTTGTTTGCTTGCTCCGCATGGAGCACCAGAGCCAAAGGAGAGGTGGTTGCTAGGATACAGGTGAACAGTTGGCATACAGGAGGGGGGACGGGTCCGTCATTGTGAGCGGCAACCTGGAGAGTGCGAGATAGAGGGAAGGCAAAGGGAGAGCAAGAAGAGAAATGGGTGGAATAGAGTCAGGGCAGAAGAGGGCAAAGTGGGGAAAAGGGAGATGCGTCACTGTCTGCATGTAGACGGAACATAAAGGGGAGAGGGAAAGGAGGATAGATTACGGGACAGATGGAGGAGAGGAAGGCTGAGCCTGATAGGTTACTGTCAGCCCCAAATGAAGGGGGTGACAAGGAGGGAGGAGTAGGAGTGACAAGACAGCCAGGTGTGGAGAGGAGAAACCAAGGGGGAGGCAGAGAAAGAGGAGAGATGAAGGAGAGCGTGGCCTCCTGAGGTTCTGTCACCTGGAATATCTCTGGGACTAATGTCTCCTAATTGATCACAGCGAGCAGGGAACAGAGGGAGTGTGACAGAGAGAGGAGAGGAGGCAGTGGCTGCGGAGGACAAGAACAGGGGGATGATGACAAAAGTAGTCAGAAAGGATAATAAAAAAAGAGAAGATGGACGCCTCTGCGTACAGAGAGAGGGAGAAAAGGAACAGAGGAAGAGATGCATTGCTGACAAGGGAATACACAGTTGAAAGATCGAGGACATGTCAGACTACTAGTGTCTAGTGTTTTCACACATGCACAGTCACACACACACAGACAGGCCCAGGTGTGCCCTTCATTGCGATG